GTGAATAACGCTGCCTTGTACATCAGTTCATTGTTCTTCCATGAAAAGTTGAACTTAAACTAAATTATATTCAAAAGTCTAAATTTTGTGAAATAATTGGCCAATTCGACAGACGTTTTGATATAATTAACTATATTTATAGGTAAATAATACGCATTTGGTGATGGATGATATCTAAGAGTTTTAGAAATCTTAGAAATTCATTAGTTTGACAGAAGTTTCACAGTGTGCTTACGGGCAGTTTCTCACGAATATGTAACATGGAGGGTTGGACATCACAGTTGATCGCGATGACCACAGTCCAATCATACAAAATGAATCGTTCGCCACGGGACTGCCCGTTGATAATGATTATGGATCGGCGCCGTGACGGCATGCACCGAAAACAAACTGCCTCGCGTTGTTGTTCAGTTCTTTCTTCATTACGCATTTCCGGGAAACTGGTCACTGGTTTTGCGAGAAGCCATCTGACTTAAAATCAGCTTAAATACCTACCCTTTGCTGAAGTTATTAGCACCCAATTTGAAGATTCAAAAAAATAAAATTGCGGCATGCCGTCACAAGCCCTTCAACATTAAAATACTATGATCAGAGTGCGACAGCTGGAAACGGCTCATGAGGTTTTACCGCCTGTGCATAAATATTCTCATCGACAACAATACGTAATTTTGATTTAAGAAAGGCTGTTTTATTCCACTTTAGTTTTATTGCTATTTTGTTACCTCACCTGTATCACACTGGTGAAATCTTTTATCGTAGACCTTTCGATTCAATAAATAATTATTTTGAGTTATTAATGATTAATTTTTTTTGATTTGAGTAATTTTGCTTCAGTGAGATTTACGATACTTTCAACCAGTGTATCTTTCAGACGCTCCAGAGTTCAAGGAAAAGCCAAAAATCGCTCAGCGTGATGGCGGAGAGCTCCTGGTGATAAAGATGCAAGCGATTTCAAAAACGGAGATGAAAGTGGAATGGCTGAAAAATGACAAACCACTGGAAAAATCTGATCGAGTGAAGGCTAACGTTGAAAAAGACGCCAAAGATCCGCAACAGTATCTTCTCAGCTTAGAAATCAAGGTAAATTAATTTCGAAAATATTTTTTTAAATAAAGCATCCGTACCTGTTTTAAACTGAAATGGTTTCATGTACAGGACAATGACACATGCCATGTTTGGGAAAAGTATTAGAGCTGTTGCCCCGCGCTGCACTCGGTATGTGTGAAAGACATCCCCACCCACCATGGGTTTACCTTGCGACACGGGCGAGGAGGCTTCATTTGTTAAAACGATGTTAATGGCATAATTTTCTCAGGAGTACGTACTAATCATAACGAGGAATATTACATGAGTTGAATCTAGGACAAAAGTAGCTATTAAATAATACTCCAGTTTTTTTGTTCATTTGATTAAAAGTAGCAAGTGACTATGACTTCCAGCAACGAAGGGATTCAATGGGGTAAACCCCATTCACGTTAGTTGCTGCAACAGAAGCTGTTATAATGGGAAAAATTTAGATGTTAAATGTTTTTCAATATTGTGAATTTTTGCAACTCCGATCTCGAATTATTAATATCTATATTCACACGCTTTGGAATGACTGGCTGTGCTACTGACCCGTATCCTTTCCTCGAATTTATTGATACATTAGGATAGGCGTGGACGTTGTTCAAGTAGGTAAACAAGAGTAAGTAATTAATCTATGCAATGTATTCTTTATGAACTAGTGTGCGTCTTATGTTACAAACTCATCGCCATCTAACGCTATCTTGCCTTTTTATCGAAAACATTCCACAGGGACCACAACAGAGCTCATCATCCAAAAAATGAAAGTACTACGTGAAATTTGCCCCTACCCACAGATGGCTCGCAAATGTGATAAAATCTATTTAAATAATGATTGCCAGTAAACCTCAATAAAAATCTACTGCCTAGATTTGTTGAAACTTCCTTTAATGAACAAAATACAGCTATAAATCAGTAAGTATGCATGCGTGTACTTACGTAAGCAAATAAGACGCATCTTCATATACGTATGCTAATTTTCTTGTTTACAAATTGAAATGCATGCTGATTATTATGACAGTATGTGAATACGTATGTATGCAACAGCATAAATAAGTAAACAGGTTGATACGTAAGTTCGTAGGTTAGTGCGTATTTGAAGTATTTGAATATCTATGTAATTAAATATGTAGTATAAACAAGCGAACAAGTAAACAAACAGAGAGGCAAGCACATAAATAAGCAAATCAGTAAACATTTTAAGCATGACTAACTTTGCCACATATTCTTTGCGAAGAATTGGCGCCTCATCTATAATATTAAATGAATTTTCAGAAACCGACCAAAGAAGATGAGGCAAAGTACACTTGCGTAGTGAAGAATGAAGGAGGACAAAATCGTCAGTCCATCAACCTGTCGTTTGAATAATAAACGATTAGCCGTTCCGTTATATTTGAATATTTTCAGGGTTCATTCGCAGCATGTTTGCGCGATTAAATAATATTTAAAAAATAAGACGTTAGTTGTCAAGCTGTTAGTGTTTATTACTTAAAGTAATCATGTTATTAAAGCCCTGCGTAAAATTGTAGAAGCAACATATCAATATGCAAAAAGTGATTAAAAATTCGGCAGATTTTCAGGAGAAATTTTTATTGAAATATACATGAAATACCGTCAGTTTTAAAACACTGAAAAAGTGTCAACATTTCAAATACTCATACCGTATTTGAATCATCGGTATTAAGCAGCAGAAGGCAAATAGTCCAACAATCTTATTCCAAGGTGGTACCGAGCATTTCAGCAGTCTCATTAGGTAGAAAGATCCTTTGCGCACTTCGTTGTAAACAGAATTGATTTGATCAGATCAGCCAAGGCAGTCGTGTAGGTTATCCCTCTAAGGACTTAACAATACGAACGATTGGCATCAGTTCGTTCTCGATAACTGTTCTTAGCTCGGCTGCTTACAAAAATTTTCCCTCATGCTGCCAATGATAACAGGATATGTCAAAGACCTTGCCACTGAGGACTTTCAAACCGTTTAGCTCGATCCACTGCTTAGTTTCCGTGACGGCACACTGTAGTTTAGAGAGACCCGTAATGTCTCTGATGGCTGAGATCAGTACCATATCGTCAGTATATCTAACACATACTGCAGGACTGATGATTCACGTACACGTTGAACAACAGTGGTGACAGCACGGAGCTTTTTTGACATCAAGGTTAGGTTGAATATTGGAAAAATGCCGCTTTCCAGCACTAATGAACTGCTACCTTTTTGAAAAATAGTTTGCCAGCCAAACTAACCAGGTCCGAGGTAACGCCAGTGTTTTGTAGACGTGAAAACAACGCCGCCGGTGGCACGATGTTACATGCTATCGATAATTCAATAAATTGGTCCTTGATGCAGATTCTCGACGACCAAAGGTAGTTGCAAAGAAATCTGTGCTACATGTAGCAGCATTAAGCGCAAAGCCATTTGTTGTAAACGCAAATTTCCGAGGGTTTCTGTGGCTCTCCAAATGCTGCTCGATGGCGTACCCTACCAACCATCCGAGAGCCTTATGTTGCATTGACGTCATTGCAACGGGCCGGAAATTACTTGGTTCAGTTGAAGGCGACGACTTTTGCACAGAAATGACGTCGGCAAGATGCCAGCAGTCAGGAAAGACTCAACAGATCATACAGCGGTTGTGAACCCCTGTAAAATGCGCTGAGCTAGTTTCTACAGTGAACAAGAACTCAGGGCATCAAACCGTCTACGCAGAGAGCACTGTCCGCTGCGAAGAGAGGCCATGCAGTGCAAAATTTTCATCTTGCTGAGACAGCATGTATCATACGCCTGGCAAGAACAAAAGAGTACTCTGTATGACGTCTGAACTCGCGACGAATCAGGCTCAGAGCATAGCACATGGCTATTCAATTCACCTAGGTCATCAAAAAGTTGGAATGAGGACGAATTATAGCCACTGAATTGCCAAACAGTATTCCAAAGTTCTTCAAGTTTTTTGCATGGCAAAAGCTTTTTACGAGTACGTCAGAGGACCTCGATTTCTCGACCGACCTGCGAGAGAAGAGTCCATATCTCAACGACGGTAGGCTGCTTACTATCGAAGGCGCAGTCGCCTCATAGCAGGTGACACAAATTTAGTGCCAACCATCACCTCTTAAATTGGGGAACGGCTGCCACGCACAAATTTACTGTCGGAGACTGACGCTGCAACACGTTTCCCTTATCGCAGCAAAATTGGCGAGAGAAATAATGTTCTTCAAATCGTCAGTTTATTCGGATCTAAAAAGCCTGTGATTCAGAATGAGTGTTTTCGGCGTTCAATGTCGTTTACCTAGCTTCTGTAGTCCTTAGGTAGAACGCTGATGATGCAATGATCAGAGTCGACAATCGGCGCTAGTGGTTTGACCTCGAATAATGCCGGAACATTAGTCAGAACGCTGTCAGGCTGCTACGATAGGCCCGTCAAGAAAGCGACGATATCAGAGAGTACAGGCCATCTGAACAAAAGGTATGATGGCTGTCAAAACTGTCAGCAAGACCGCATAGCGCCTGTCCTAGATGTTCCAAGACACTTTATGTGCATGTGTAAACAAAGCAATCATGTCCAGAAGGGTGGCTAAATAGCGTAATGCAGATGTTTGTCAAAAGCACACTTAGAAAATTTAGCAAAAATTAAATCATATATTGAAAAACAAAACAAAGAACATCCTCATTCGAATGCCTGAATAAAATGGAAATTCTAGTCTGAGTTGATCTACATAGCTACTCTTTCACCGCTAAAATTTTGTCTTAGCATCAGAATGGCGATCAGCTGTATACAGCCGGTAGTCGCTGAAGGTCACCATTTCATCTTAAGTCACATCGTGGAGGCAGAATTCCTGAATCAGAAGAGTGCAAGGAACAGAGATATCTGTGACTCCTTA